GGCCTATATGTGTGTTTGATAGAAATTATTGAGAAAATAATATATTTTAAATATTGATATGATAAGAAATATGTGGTTAAAAAATAAGGAAAAGTTATTGATGTGATAGAAAATATTATTTTATTGAAAAATGAGTTTTGAAAGAATGTATTTTGAATAATGTATGTCAAACAGGGGCTATATAGAAAATCAAAATAAATGAGGTATAAAGTGAAAATGTTCGAAACTTGAAGGGGCACCATGGAAACAATCTTTACGATTCGCATATTTTCATTTTAAACTTTGAATTGAACACTTCTACGCCAAAACAACGGAGAGACAGAAGAACCTTGAAGCACACAATCAATGCGCGAAGGGTTCAGGTCGAACGTTGTAGGAATCTTTGTTCTTTCTCTTCTGTTTCAATTTCCCAGTCACCAATATTATATAGATTTGAACCTGTCTAAAAATATGCATAATATCCATAATCAATTAATTTTTTGATGCAGGAACGATTAAACCAAGGCCTTTTCATCTAGGTTTTTTTCATTTGAGTTTCGACAGGATAAATGTAAGACCCAAACCAATGTTTTTAGAGGTAAGGATAACAATTCTGGGTTTTGACTTTTACTCATAGATGTAAAAGGTTGATATATTTGTGACGATATATTGTTTGAGATTATTGATTTTGGGTTTTTGGAGATGCCTTTTTGTTGCTTGTTATTAGAAATGTGATTTGGGGGCTGTTTCTTATTGGAAAAGATTTGTATGTAATTCGTAGCTTGTGCATATATAATGTTGTCGAAAGGGGATGATAGGAAGAAAATTACTGAGAAATCTGGAAATGGGAGTTTTTTAAATGACCTTGAAACTATAAATAATGCTATATATACGAATAAAATGTGGGAGACAGCTGCAACTTCGACGGTTAGCAGTCAATCCAAGTCTGTTGGAAAGTTCCATTCAACTGAACCCAAGATCAAGAGGAAGGAATCTAATAATATTAAAGATTCATTTGAGGAGAAAAAGTCCATTTGGAGTTGGAAGAGTCTAAAGGCATTGACTTATGCCCGAAACCGGAGGTTCAATTGTTGTTTCTCGCTCCAAGTCCATTGCATTGAGGGATTACAAGAGTTTTTTAATGATGCTAGTCTTGTTGTGCACTGGAAGAGGAGAGATGGTGAGCTGATGACACAACCAGTTAGGGTCTATAAAGGAATAGCCAAGTTTGAAGAACAGTTGACATATTCATGCCCTATTTATGGTACTAAGAATGGTCCTAATCGCTCGGCAAAATATGAAGCAAAGCATTTCTCATTATATGCTTCAGTATATAATGCTCCCAAGCTTGATTTGGGGAAGCATCTAGTCGATTTGACAAGGTTGCTTCCTCTAACATTGGAGGAACTGGAAGAGGAGAAGAGCTCTGGGAAGTGGACAACCAGTTTCAGGTTATCGGGTAACGCTAAAGGTGCAACTTTGAATGTCAGTTTTGGATATATAGTCATTGGGAATAAAAAGTCAGGGCCTTCCAGCAACAGCAGTTTTTCTGGAATTCAAAGCTTGAGGCAAAATAGTGCAAATGTACCAAAACTCTTAGGGCAATTTGATCAAGCAAATGAACTAGGGATTCGGCGTGCAGGAAGTCTTCCGGCAATCTCGTCTGTTTCATGTCAATCTTCAGAATACATAAAGGATCTTCATGAGGTTTTGCCAATATCAAAGGCAGAACAGTATGGTTCAGTAAATATGCTCTATCAAAAATTTGAGGAAGATATGTCAAACGTGTCAGTTCACCCCAAACCAGAGTCCAATTCTTTTACTGCACCTGTTGAGCCTCTTAATGAGGATTCAGTTGATGTTGGTAAGGAAAGTCCAGAAACTGAACGTGATAGTGAGTTTTCTGTCATAGAGGAAGGAGTTGAAGAGTTGACAAGGGAGGAGGTGAAATCACAAGATGAGTCATTGAAGGTGGCTGAAGGTTCTGCATCAGAGATCCATGAAACTGATAGCACCATTGAGAGACCAGTTGATGAGGATGCCAACCTTCATCCCTTGGTCGTAGAAACTGGCAGTGATTGTGAGTATTATGTCATAGAGGAAGGGGTTGAAGCGTTAACAGCGCAGGTGAAATCACAAGATGATTCATTGAAGGTGGCTGAAGGTTCTGCAGCAGAGATCCGTGGAACTGACAGCACCGTTGAGATACCAGTTGACGAGGATGCGACCCTTGATACTTTCATTGTGGAAATTAGTTGTCAAAAAGATGAGTCATCTTTCAATGACTGCAATTCTGAAGAGAATAAAGTGTGCCCCACAGAATTACTGATGAAAGAACTGGAGACGGCACTGATTTATGCCTCTGATTTGGTAAAAGAAGAATTACATTCTCAAGAAGATGAAAGTGATGCTTTATGCACCGAAGATCACTTGGATATTAAATCCAGTCATAGAGATCATAAGAAGGGAAAATCACTTAGCTTGGACGATGTTACTGAGTCTGTTGCTAGTGAATTCTTGGACATATTGGCCAGCGAGCATAGTCCATTTGGTTTCAGTTCTGAAAGTGAGCCTGATTCTCCAAGAGAGCGCCTACTAAGGCAATTTGAGAAGGATGCTATTGCCAGCGGGAGTTCCTTATTCAACTTTGATATGGACGATTATCAAGAGGAATTTGTTGGTGATGTTCAAATGTGTTCTGGGTGGGGAAATGTCTCTGAGGAATTTCATCATTCATCAACAGTTGTGAACTATGAGGAGATGGCCAAGATAGAAACTGATGCAATGAGGACTAATACAAGGGCCTCAATGTTGGAGGACTTGGAGTCTGGAGCTTTAATGCGAGAGTGGGGACTAAATGAGAAGGCGTTCAAAAATTCTCCACCCAATAGCTTAGGTGGGTTTGGGAGTCCAATTGATATGCCTCCTGAAGAGCCTCCACCGTTGCCTCCCCTTGCAGAAGGTTTGGGTCCCTTTGTTGAGACCAAAAATGGAGGATTTTTGCGGTCAATGAGTCCTGCAATTTTCAGGAATTCCAAAAGTGGAGGTAGCCTAATTATGCAGGTGTCTAGTCCCCTGGTGGTTCCTGCAGAAATGGGTTCTGGTGTAATGGAAATACTTCAGGGTCTGGCCTCTGTTGGGATCAAAAAGCTTTCGATGCAGGCTAATAAATTGATGCCCTTGGAAGATATAACTGGGAAGACAATGCAACAAATAGCATGGGAAGCTGTCCCCATTCTGGAGGAACCCAACAGGTTTGTTGTTGTTGCAGCCTTGCCAAATGCATGTATCGGTACTTATATAATTCATATTTCAAAGTTGACAATCTTCACCAGCTATAGTTTTATTTACCTTTTTATCCCTGTTTCAGGCAAGGGTTATTGCAGAATGAATCAGAAACCATGCAAAACGTACCTGGTGAGCAAAAGAGAGAAGGAAAAACTTCTGGACCCAGGTCGGGTAAGCTCACATCAAGTTCGATTGATAGTGAAACACAATATGTATCCTTAGAAGATCTTGCTCCTCTGGCCATGGATAAAATTGAAGCCCTATCAGTTGAGGGCTTGAGAATACAATCTGGCATGTCAGATGATGACGCACCTTCAAACATCAGCCCACATTCCAATGGTGAATTTTCAGCCCTGAAGGGAAAGGCAGACAATTTTGATGGCTCCATATGTCTTGATGGGACTGGTGGATTGCAACTGCTGGACATTAAGGACAATGGTGAAGATGTCGATGGATTGATGGGTCTATCTTTACCACTTGATGAATGGATGAGGCTAGATTCTGGTGAAATTGATCATGAAGATCTCAGCAATGAACGAATGTCTAAAATACTTGCAGCACATCATGCTACTTCAGTAGACTTGTTTCATGGAATATCAAAGGTGGAAAAGAGGCGAGCAAAGGGTAGGAAGTGTGGTCTATTGTGCAATAACTTCACTGTTGCATTGATGGTGCAGTTGCGTGATCCATTACGGAACTATGACCCAGTTGGCACCCCAATGCTTGCTCTTATCCAAGTCGAGAGAGTGTTTGTTCCACTTAAACCCAAAATCTATGGGATTGTATCACAGGTGAGAAACTATGAAGAAGAGGAAGAAGTGCCCAAGGCTGCTAAAAAGAACATGATTGAGGCAGAAAAAGAAGAGGAAATCCACGAAGAACTCATTCCTCAATACAAAGTAACTCAGGTGCACGTTGCAGGTTTGAAGACTGAGCCAGGTAAAAAAACGAAGTTGGGGAGTTCAAAAAATCAACAAAACTCTGGGTCCCGTTGGTTGCTTGCCAATGGAATGGGGAAGAAGAATAAGCATCCTATGATGAAATCAAACTCAGTTGCCAAATCTGCTGCTGTGGCTTCTTCGTCCATGACAGCTACAGTGCAGCCTGGTGATACTTTATGGAGCATCTCTTCTCGAGTTCATGGAACAGGGGCTAAATGGAAGGAACTTGCTGCACTGAATCCACACATTCGGAATCCAAATGTCATCTTCCCGAATGAAAGTATCAGATTGCGCTAGGACTTAAAACTGTTTGATGGAACTGTATGTTACTTTGATGGTAAAGCGGGGTAGAACTTGCTGTGAAATGGATTTAAAACGGACTGAGGTTGTTGTTAAGATCACAATAAGTTAATGTGACGAGAGGATAGATACACTGTTCTTCCATTTTCATTTGTAAATTTCACCAGTTTTGTGAACCTTGATTGTCATTGTTTTGGCCTTTACACTCCTATGTTTTTTGTTCATGTTAATTGTTTTAAAGAAATGTGGTGACCTTTTTACGTCTCTTTTTTCTTCCCTTCATTTTTAGAACAAGAAATTTCTGAATTATCTTTAGGGCTATGTGTTTTTTCACTTGTTTAGTATTCAAAAAAAGAAAAATGTTGATACATAAACCTTGCCCAAGCCTTTCATTCCAAGTCAAATCAAAATAGTACTTTCGGCCTTTAATTCTCCAAAGAAATTTACTTTTTCATTGTTCGTGTCTTTTAAGTTTTTGTATTTGCTTTAATTGTAAAGAGTACAATCAACTCACTCTAATAGTAAAGAATACCGTAATTCCTTTATAGCAAAGAGTGAATTTTATCTTAAAGGAGATTTGCAAAGTGTATGACTCGCTTCTTTTACTTTGTAAATCTTTTATTAAAAGTATCCGTCTCGAGAACCAATATTACAATTCTTGAAGAATAATACTGATAGCTCAACCAAGTAAACTTTTATTCGAAATTTGGCAAATTCATTATCTACTTCTAACTGATTCAAGTGTTTTTTGTGTAGTTTATTTTACAGGTCCTTTAGACAATGTTTAAGAGAATTTTGGCTCCATAAAATCAGGAATTAGTTTGTTTTTACTTGATAATTTTACGAATTGGGATTCATATATATATATATATA